TTCAAAAGGACTTCGTCATTTGGTCTACTTTTGGTTTACTTTACGTAGATTTTAAAAACGGATGTTATGTGTTAAGAACTAGGAGCTAGTAAGTATCTTAAATTATGATCAGACATTATACACACATTGTCAGTATTTCAGAAAAAACATTTATCTACAATCCTTACCTTCCCAACAGTCTTGAGCACCAGTATATGTGTCTGCTGGGGTTTTTTTCAAATGATTTTTTAATAAATTCTAAAACTGATGAATAAATTGCTGAAGCAGAACCGGTTTAAATGCTTTGAGAGTTTATTTCCAAGATATTTAGCATAAACAGAAACCATTTTGACCTTCAGTCTGTGGCAGAGTTTGCCTTTGTGCTTAGCCCCAGCTGTGTTCCAGCAGCTTTGAGAAATCCTGCTGAGCCCCTCAAGATGAACTTGTTTGCACCTGCAGCTACACTAGTGCAACCTGCATAAATCATTGCTGAGGACAACAGGCTGCTCAGCCTTTCCATGCAGATTTTTCCACTCACACTGTGGATGCTGGAAGAGACTAATAAATACACATATGTAGTATTGTAGCTCTGCCGTCACACATGCATGTGTATTATATATCTTTGAGTATATCACGATAGGGGAGTTTCCCTGTGCATTCATGGATGCACCCAGAGGAGACAAAATAAAGGTCACTTACTGTTGATATTCACATTAAACTGTTTCTTCCTGCCCTCCCAAAATTCTAGAAAACATTTAAAAAGTATGTATTTCTGTAAGAAATCCTACTACTTTTTGTTCTGTAACAAAGCACTGCTTAACTGATGTCCAAATATTTTTAGTGCATCCTTGGCTATACTTTCTAGGTGCCAGATACAATAAAGAAAAGTTATGAATTGACAAATGATTGGCTTTTTGTTTAATCTGAAATTTACATGCTTTAATGTAAAAAGGAGTTCATTCATGGTTTTTAAATGCTGTTCATTTTCCTCTCCATCATACCAGAAGTATTTCATAAAAAGTGGGAGTTATAAGCATAAAAATACAGTCAAGCTGTAATCCTGCATTTCCTCAGTAAAAAATTTACACATTGAGAAGAGAATTTTTATTATAACAGTTAAATAAGCTGTTTAGTTTCTCATTATTTTGCTTTATATTCTATGCTAAATTTTTTACTTTTATTCCCAATGTATTGTTCATCTCTGCAACAATAGTTCTAAATCTATATGAAGTAGTTAATATGTATGACATTGGCGTAGGAATTCTGTTATAATCCTTAATTATGCACTGATTGTAGCCAGACCTGAAATCGTATGGTCCTAAGTTCTGCTGAAGTTTGTATTGGAAGAACTATAGAAGTGGGCCTGTTTTTTGGGTTTTTTTCCCCCTACATTTAGGATGCAGTGTGAACTGATTGCATTTCAGTTTGCTTTTACTTAATCACTTTAGAGTCATCACTACTGAAAGTACTGTAAGTTACTCTATCTTTTTGTGGGCTTGATATGGTTAACCCAAACCTCCAGTTTCAGAGTATCAGAGAGTATAAATAGCTTAGAATTTGTATCATTAATGTAAGAATTCCATTTTAGCTACAATAACTTTTAGAAAAAATTACATATTGGTAAAAACACTACATAAGAGCGGAGGTGCAATTACTGGCAACGTGAGTTAATGAACTAATGCGTTAAGTGCACAGTGCACGCGTGTGTGCGCTACAATGGGACGGCTAGTGACAAGATTAACACTGGTTTCAAGTTTGACCTAGTCATAGTATAATCAACTGTTTGTATATGAGCTACATCTCCTATATTAGTTTGTGGAAAAAACTTGTATGTTAAACAAAAATCAAGCCTTTGTAAGGTGTCCTTGCTACAGAACTTTACAATTTTTAGCGAACTGAAAAAATAGTTCATTGCAAAACAAGATACTTGTGGTTTTAAGAAATGCAAATGAGTCTGCTTTTGAATCCCCAAAGAATCCTTTACTGAAGCATGGATTTTGAAACTGCGTGTTCACACGTGTAGACAGATTGTGTTCATAGTTTGTAGATGAATTTAGAGATTTGTGAATAATCAGAATGTGGATTAAGAAGAAAGTAGGGGAATAACATCATCAAAGCAAATGTGATTATTTATGTACGTTCTTATCTCACCACTATTCAGTATATCTCGTTAGAATGATTAAGAGAACAGAGAGATTATTTTTGATGAGGGCAGTTTTTGGAAGAACAGAAGTGGTTTTGTTCAGCCTAGCAAAGCAAAAGCTGACTATTTGTAAGATAGCTATAATTAGAGTGTGGCTAAAGAGTAAGGTTTGGAAAGGCAAATGAAGGGATGCACAAAAAGAAGGGCAGTTAGCTAGTTATGTAGGAACTTAGTTGGAAATTAAAACTTATAATAATTAGAGAGGGTGGGTTCTGGAACAGTCTTCCTAAGAGAGTAGTATACCAAAGAAACTGACTTCTTTTTAGAAGAAATTGGGTGTATTCATGAAAATTTATGGTATGGTATTTATGACAGTAACAGAATGAGTTCAGTGTTGAATGTCTCTTCCAATGGCATAGTGGTATTGAGATTCATTATCAATTACAAGGTATATGAAGATATCCATTCATTATCGAACTGCATTGAGTTTCCGAGAAATTGCCTACTGATAATACTCTTAAGTGCAGTTGATTCTGTTGAAACAGTATCTCAGCTATGGGAATTTTTTTGAGTGTTTCAGGAAGTATTAAAAAGCTGACAGAGACATATAGTGTAAAATTACAGAATTTTACTAGGAAATGGATTTTGCTAAGGCATAGGTGTTGATAATGTAGACCTTACAATAGCTGAAAAGCAGGTCAGTTTTATTTGCTATGGAAGTCCTTTTCCAAAGCAGTGCTGCAGGTGAATATCCAATTACTTGTCTTCTAGTGGACAAGTTAGGAAATACTCAACATCACTATTTGGATCATTTCCTGCAGTCACAGGGAGGGGCAACTACTTTTTTGTTTGTCCGTAATACAGTCATTATTTTTGAAGAATTAATGGAATTCATCGCTTGAATGAATCATATAATTCATAATCACTAGTAGATAAAACCGTCTAATTTTGGCTAGATTTAAATATATTTGAAAATGCAGAATGTTTTCAACTTGATGTTGAGGTACATTTTCTAATTAAAATTACCAGCTACCAGACTATTATAACATAACTAGTTCTTTGGTTTATTTAGGTTATTTTCACCAGGATATGCTAATCTTTCTTCCCTTCCTTTTAAGTAAATTTAATGTTCTGTTTACAGGGCTGCTCTTGGTCTGTTATATTTGTGGATTTTGATGCCCATAACCGTAACAGACAGACTCTCTGTTCATTGCTACCCCGAGAGTCAAGGTCTCATGTAAGTAATTAAATGAGATTCACCGCAACAGAGTGTGGAGAAAATAAATGGATGTGAACATAGTCTTAGTTCTATGATGGGCATTATGTTCTGCTTAATAAAGATAGGAATTTGCTGGACAGATGTTGAATTTTTGCTTCTCAAATGCCACTGTGATGTAGTTGTTTCTTTGAAGTGCATTTACGATGGCATTCTTTATTTTATGAATATTTAGATTAAAATGGTAGCCTCTTGGTAGTTTTCTAAACAATTTTAAAATAAAATAATAATTATCTATAATAACTTAAATAGGGTTTGCAGTCTTGGCAATTGTTTTTGTTTTCGCCTAGTTTTTACTGTACACTCAGTGCCCCCCTTTTTAAAATACTTTAGTTGAGCTTTAATTCATTCTTTTGTCTAGAAAAGAAGCCTTAAGGTTGACTTCTCATCAATTGCTGAATATGGAGAATTTCTTACTTATTTGTAACAGTAGGCTATAATAATATTTCCTCAGTGAGTAAATCTAAGTGACATAAGTATAGATTACTTTAAAAAAAACAGTAGTACTAGCATCAAAGGTAGATTTGGTTGTTGAAAATCAGTAATTTAAAATGAGTGATAATAGAGTTCTACTGCTTTTTTGTTCATTCTGGGATAGAATAGCATTTTTGTTCATGAAACAGACTATTAATCTGCAACATTAATAGTTTACTCATTGTGTAGAAGAATTTGAGCAGAGTTATAATACTGGATAATTAAAATAAAAGGCACTGACAGCTACTTTTTTATAGTCTAATGGTCTTTTAGAACTCTTGCTGTTTATTTGCTGGAAACTTAAAGTATTTCAACAGAAGTTGGTTTCATAAGTTACTTATGTGTAGAAGCAGTCTGTGTAATTTTTTTTCCTTTTATGCATTCATGTCAATGGTATTGGCAAAAATATGGTATTTTAAATGGCTGAATACCTTAGATATATCAGCACAAAGGAATAACAAAAACAGCGCATGACATAAGAATTATAACTTAAAACTACTTTTTTGTGTTTCTGTAAGCTTACCCGTAGTGGTGATGCACTAGCTAGTAATTTTTCTTGTGTGTTTAATTCATGATAATTGCACATGGTTCTTGAGAAATACTACTCGTATTTTTTCCTAAAATTACTCCCTTATCACCTTAATTGTAAATCAGATAGGCTTGTTTGTTACAGCACCTGAAAAATATTCCTGAAAAAGCTTTTCAGGAATGATGATTTAATCATAGTTACTTCTCAGCATTGTACTTCTATGAAATGTTTCTGATTCTTTTTGAGCATAGGATACCCAAATGTTTGTTTCTCCTCCAGGAATGACCTGGAGGATATTTTTTGTTTCTAAAACCACGAAGTTCTAGAATGTATTCACTTATCCCTGTGGATTATCCACTGTGAAGTAGGTCAGATTCCAAGTCAATTGAGTTCTCTTTTAATTCATATATCCGAATATTTGGTTTGTAGTTTATCCTTATACATCTTTAGAAGTCTCATTTTGCATACTGTTTTAATAGAGTAATACTACGATTTTGACAAAGATAAATGTTGCAAATGTATATTTCACTTAGTAAGTAAAATAGTTAAATAAGTTAAATCGTCTTTGTGCGTCAAATAATTGTCAGAGAAGTAATTAAATTTCTAATGTGCTATTTCTCCCTCTCCTTCTACAGAATACTGATGCAGCTCTTTTGCCCTGTCTTAGTTATCCTGCATTTGCTTTGGATGATGAGGTTTTGTTCAGTCAAACACTAGATAAAATTATTAGAAAATTGAAAGGAAAATATGGGTTTAAAAGATTTCTGAGAGATGGGTACAGAACAGCGCTAGAGGACAAAACACGACGTTATTATAAACCAGCAGAAATTAAGGTAAAGGAATACCTTTGTCCTGAGGACAAATTTTGGTTTTCTAAAATTTTTAGGCAGTACTTAAAAAATAAAAAACCCAAAACAAAATCCCCCCAAAAACGCAAAAGAAAAGAATAATGGACACACCCCCTCAGTATTTGCAATTTGAATTGCAGTGATTCCTAACTGCTTCAAGTGAAGGAGATACATTTTGTAATTTGGCATGTGCAGTTTTGAGATACTGCTAAGTCAGCAAGTTAGTTGTTGATTTGTTTTGTAATGAATGTGCTCCCATTTACATTTAGGGTACAGTTGATTTCACATAACAAATAAGGAAGTTATTTATCATTTTATTTAATTTCACAGCTGACTACAGGCTGAGTGTATAGAAAACAATTTTTGCTTTTGACCACAGTATTTATCAGTAAAGGTCATCTAAATGAAAATTCGGTTCTTTTTCTCCCCAGTAGTTTCTCTTGGAAAATAAAACATAGATTATCTAAATATTCTACTTGAGAATGAGCCACAGCATATGTAAAAGCACAGTTGAAGTGCCTATTGATTTAAGAAGCTATAACCTGAATGAAAAACTGATGTAGTAAAATGCTTTTGCATTCATGATTGTCTTTTGTTGCTTTGAAATTATGCAACACGATATTCAAATAAGTTTCCTTAAATCAAAATGATAAAATGTTTGATTAATTTTTCTTGTTTTCAGCTTTTTGATGGCATTGAGTGTGAATTCCCTCTGTTTTTTATTTTCATGATAATTGATGGTAAGTACAGCTTTACATTCCTGTTTTTTAAAGACTAATGCCTTTCTCTAATGAGAAATGAGTCCTTAGAGGAAAGATACAAAATTATTTTCCTGTCCTGCCAAAATAAACCAAAATGCAGTGATACGAAGTATTTCATTGAGAGTTTTGCTTCATGGGTTAAAAAAACACAAGTACGTAGCATTTTTCATGTGACCTGTTTTTAATATATAAGTCAATACAGGTTTTTTAAAAGCTTAAATCTGTGACATTCAGTCCTGCATTGCCTTTTAAGCCTTAAAAGCTTTCACAGTATATCAGAACTTTGCAGCAGCACGTGAGAGAAAAGGAAATGGAAGAGAGAACACATTGACACACTGAATGTTGCAGCAGGTCTTTTCAAATTGGATATTCTGTGGTAATTGAAACAGAATTCAGAGGAGAAGAAAGCAAACCAAAAAAGGCTTAGTTTCTTTTTGAAATGCCTGTGCTTCCTGGTCACGTTTTTCCACGTAGCCATCTAGTCTGGTTTAAAAAAAAAAAAACAAAAACCAACCAAACAAAAACAACAAACAAACAAACGCAAACAAAAAAAACCACCACCACCAACAGCAACAAAAATACCACTGCCTACATCTTGTCTTGAGGATAGGAGGCATAGCAAAACCGTTAATGGAATGATTTCAGCATGGAAGATAAAACTCACATAGAACAATAAGTTTGAAAAAGAAAAGGAGTGAGGGTTACAGCCATCAAAAAGATGGATGAAAATACGGCCATCTGGTTTTTTCCCTTTAGTGTGTGGAATAGTGTTCAAATAAAGGTGATGAGGGGCATAGAAATCTGCTGTCTGCCTAGACTCCTCTGTGGCCACCCACAGATTAAAATATTTTATTTGAAGATGTAGTAAGTTTTCACAATTGATTTTTCTAAAGGAATGCGTGACATTTTTCAAAGAGTGATGCCCAAAACTGAGGAGAAAGGCACTGACATTTAATGCTGCCCACTTGCAGTTTTGGGAACAACAAGAAAGATAATCATCTTTAACTGAAGTTAGCAGAAGAATAAAGAAAGCATTTTAATACTTTGTGTATTACAAAGGAAAAGTACAAAATATGTATTTTGCACATATTGTCCTTGTCTCTTTCCTTTTTTCTTTCCCTGTATGACAATTTCATCAAACAGAGTAATTTTGATAGTTGATTTTGTGCACGCATCTCCTTAATGAAAAACTTTAAGCATTCACAGGATGACTTAAATGGCAAAAAGACAATGAAATACGAGGAGTAGCTTAAAGCTGAATGTCTATAATGAAAACACTGAAAAAAAACCCTTCAAGATGCTACCTTGTCAATACTGGTTCAGCTGAAAACCTATCTGCCTATCCAACACACTTGCAGAGTACAAAGGGAAGCCTTTTCAGCTAAGTGTATTAAGCTACTGAATATGTAGGTAACTCCTGAGAGCTGGATTTTGTTACCTGTATAACAGTTGGACAGTGCTCCATTAAATAAGGAAGGAGGGAGTCCTGTAAATCATAGCCCATAATCCCCCGATTTTGTTCACATCAGCAAAATTTCTTTCATAATTTCTTTTTTGAAAGATTAGCAGAACATATTCAAGTAACTATATATTTACTATATATCTACTTATATTTTCTTTTATAAGACAAACTAATTAGCTCCTCAGCTCTTCTGTTTTGTCAACAGCAGCTTTTTAGGATTTTTAAGATAAGGAGAGTTAAAACAGTTCTGGCAAGTAGATACTACTGAATTAGTTATGCATTTTCTAGTAGTATTAAGCACACTGTTTTATTCCTCATGGATTCCTCATTATTACCCAACTGTTATCTTCAATAGATGATTCTTAATATAAAATCACATCAGTGCATCTTTTTATCCTCTATAGCATCTCCCAATAAGACTAAATTACAAATAGTCAGAATATCATACTGCTCTTATGTCATGACTGTGCTGGTGTGTTTTGAAGTAGTTCAGTGTGTCACTTAAACACACCCTTTTCTGTGTGCAGATTTTCATTGCATTTGTTTCTTTTGGCAAAAGATTTAATTTCCTCTGTGTGTGTGTGTGTGTGTGTATATTTGGGAATATTTGAAAATGTAATGAACAACACTTGTCAAGTTTTGGGTTTGGGATAGAGCATTGAAGAGCCATGGAAAGAAAGAAATCTCTATACAGTGGTCAAACTCCAGCTTTCTACTGCACTTTGGCTTTTCAGTAGAATAATTTATTCAATACTCTTAAAATAGCATAAAAGATAATTTTTTGGTGATATTTTTACATATGTATCAATATATGTATATTAAAAAAGTCACAAGAACTAACAAAAACCATCTAAACTTAAACATAAAAACAACAAAAAACATATCTAAACATATAATGCACATAAATATATCTGTACATGTACAAAAATATGTATCATACACACATAAACATATCTAAACTTTTTCTAATAAGGATATTCTGGTATATTTCTTCTCAGCGGATGAGTTTGTGCTTTTCTTTTTTACTACTTTTGCCTTCCAGAATTCACTCTTCTTAAGAACAGAAAAAGGCAGCTTTAGTACTATTCCTGTTGGGATTTTTCTCAAAAGGAAATTGTTTAGGACTCTGGGTAGCAGATACACATCTGTAGCTGTAGGAAAGGATTTAACCAAATAAATCTATATGACTATTTTTTGGGTAAGACATATTTGAATAGCATTTTTTGAAAGCTTTTTTACATTTCTGGTTGAATGTGGAGGATGATGGTATTTTTCTAGGATAAGGTAGGGAGGGAAACATTATAGTTGTTTTAATGGAATTTGGAAGAATATGGTAATTGAAAAGGAAAACCATGGAGAGAAATGAATGGAAGATGTACACTGAAAAGTTTTTATCTTACTTGTTCACTTCTAAATGTTAAAAACTGTTTTATTATAAAATGTCAGTGTGACTTGTCAAGTTCATCCACCATTTCCTTGATGAACAGAAACGCTTTTCATATTTTTGGTATCTTTTTGATATTTTTGATACCTTTTCATGTAAGAACTTTTGATGAACTGAACACTGGTCATATTAGGATTCATCAGATTCATTTTGGAGTGACTAAGTTCTGCTAGAAAAATATTTAAAGTACTGGTAGTCCCCAACTTAGCAATTTCTCCCTAAAAGCATCATCGTAAAGAGTTGTCTGTTCTGCTTAACATCTCAAGGTGTGTTAGCAGTTCAGAACTGCTAGAATATGAATATATAATACTTGGCAATGTAAACATTCAATCTAATCTTTGAAGGGGAATTTTTCAATTTACTATTCATATTCCTTTTGTGTATGTTTACTGGGATTTCTAGGCAACTCACTTCTAGATAAGTTTGCAACTCTGTCCTAAGGATTTAGAACCAGCCTGTTTGCCTCCACACTGGCACACAAGCTCTGCTTCATTCTGCTGTAATTAAGGAAGTTATTTACAGCTAGCTGGGCTGGTTGTCTACGTCCAGTTCCTGAGCCTCTGCAAGTTCACAGCTTTGCCAGCCTGTGTAACTTGCCATTGATTTCAGTTTCAGCTAATAAGAGAGTGGCTGATTCATGATCCCTTTGAGATTTAGCTGCAGTTTAGTCTTTTACCTTTCATGAACTGTTTTGTGTGTAGGCACTACCCCACTGAAAAATAAACACTAGATTTGTTTCTTCTTTTATGACCATTAAGCTCACAGAAAAGTTATTTCTTCTGTTAAGTCAATTATTGTTGGGTTATTTTTAGGAGTTTTTAGAGGAAATCCTGCACAAGTAAAGGAGTATCAGGATCTTCTGGAACCTTTGCTTCAGCATACATCTGAAGGTATTCTCTGATAATCATTCTTCTAAAGCACTGTAGCTTTTTATGTATCTGAAATTATTAAAATACTGACATTCCTGTTAATGGATATTGCAGTCAGAGCAAAGGAGATGTAATAATGTCACTATGTTTCCTGGTGGCAAAATGCTGATACTGAATAATCTCTTTCATGTAGATACATTGCATCATAAAGTGTGATAATAAAAGTAATGTTGCCTGGAAAAGTGCTACTGACATAAATACAAAATTTACAGTGTACCCAGTAATTACGCCCCTCCTTTGCCTATGCTTCATTATTTACAAAGTTCACTTTGACTTTGCAGGAAAATATTAACTACCAACCGTCAGACTGTTTCAGTGTTCCACCTGGATACAGTTGAGAATTACTTGTATCATTCAATGTCACTTAACTTCACAAAATTTAAAAAATAATTTGGTATATGCATATGAAATTGTTTCTAGCTTAGAGCACTAAAAGTGGCAACATGTTAATTTTAATATAAATGTTCTCTTACTTAAATTGTGCATTCCAGAATTTTGATGGAACTGCAGACAAGGCCTACAGGCACATCCATCCAAAATTCAGTTAAAAAAAAAAAAAAAGAGAGAGAGAGAGAGAAAAAGACCATAACTTTGAGTGGGAGGAAAAAAAATGGCCTGAGAACAGAACAAGCTTCAATATATTGACAATCCAATTTTAAAACCCAGCAAATTTAGTCACCTGTTCTTCACATCTGTGGTACAGTTACATAAGTAGATGCCGAATGTTTTAGTCAGACTTGTTCTTCAAACTTGGAATATGTGTTGAAGTGAACTAGTTTCTGTAAGAAATACAAACTTTTCCTTACCAAATTTTCTTTACCAGATTTTCTGACCTTGCTGATAGTTGTTTTTTTCTGATTATTAATGAGTATGTGAAGTTCCATGGACACTAAATTAATCTTGTGGTTCCTCTTGTTGAATGTCATCATGAATGTCTCATCTTAGAATTTCTGAGTGTGTTTGGATAATCACTCATTTGGATAATCTATCTCTATCTCAATTTTTCTCAGCTTCTTGCCAGTAATTTTATTTTTTCTTTGTCTAAGCAAATAGGTACTGCAACTTTGTTCTGTTTATCACCTGTTCTTTATCCAAATGAATTCAAAATTAAAGCTATATTAAGGTGAAGTTTAATTTTGCAGAAAGCATATTAATTTGTTTTTGTATTGCATGTAATTAGGTCAGTCATTTGTAATTATGTTTCTAAATTCCTTACTCTTGTCCACTTAAAAAGTGTTGAAATAAAGGTTATTAATCTACAATGATCAGTAATACCTGTGGCATAATTCTAGATATAAGATATGCTATCTTCCAATTAAGAAGTTATGCCATTTTATTTTGTGATGTTTCAGAATTAAAATGCTGCTTTTAACTTGGTTTTGCATACTTGCAAAAAAATATGATTTTCATTTAATTAAATGTTTGACTACTTTTGGCTAAGATTTTAGTTTTAAAAAGTTGTCTGATACCGAGCTGGTGTTAAATGCAGGCGAAAAACACCTCAGGTGTTTCACTCTAATGCAGTTTTCATTTCTTTTGATTATGGTTTGTTATCTGTACTGCGTTTTGCTTTAGGTGAAAATTTTTTTTTTTTTCTTTTTGCACAGTAAGGTACTACACAGACAATGTATGTAGTCTGGAAAGAAATTCTGCGGAAGTGTTTGCTGCAAAATAAACTAGTTTAATATTGCCCTGGGTTTCCTACACTGATTGTGGTTTTGAGAGATAACAAGGAATGACAACAGTCTAATAACAACAAGTTGTTGTTAGGGTATAACTTTTCCTGTCTTGAATCCACTCCTGCTTTTTTAAGGGACTACAATCAAATAATGATGACAGTGGAATTTATTTACTTACTGTACTTATTTTAAAACTCCGCAGGGTGTCCTGTTGTACCCAAGTATTACTATGTGCCAGCTGATTTCGTTGAACTGGAAAAGAAGAACCCGGGCAGTCAGAAGCGGTTTCCTAGTAACAGTGGACGCGATGGGAAGTTTTTCTTGTGGGGGCAGGCAGTTTACATCATTGCAAAACTGCTGGGTAAGAGACTGAGGAAATTCTACCAGGTTTTGACTCATCAGAAGTGAAGGGTATTTATTTTGTTAATGTTTTTCTTGAATCTGAACAAACATGTTGGCTTGAGTTTTGAATGCACTGTGGGTGACATGTATGTCCTTTGTGTGACATGTATGTCCTTTGCTTTAGTTCATACATGAAAGGCAAAAATTGCTTATTATTCTTTATGATAAAATTTTGTGCTGCATGCAGCACACTATGAAGCTTACTGGAATTTTTTATAGAATACTGAAAATCTAAACATCATAAGTTTCTTTTTTTGCTGTGTCTTTTCCTGACATTCCCTCTTATTTCCTTTTCTTCATAACAAAATATATTAATATGACACTTTCTGGATTAACTGTATCAGCTGCACCTGTATGGTGATGGTTTTAAGTGATCTGCAGCATTTAGTTCAAATTACTGACTGCTTTTAAGCAAGACAAGTTTAAATTTTGAAGAGTTGCAGTCCCAGGTAAAGCTGATGTTTTTACCCTTCCTTTAAAATAGAAGAGACTAGATGAGCATTTGAAAGTGCGTTTCAAAGTTTTGCCATTGAAGGTTGTTATGGAGAATTTCAGTCACAAATGAACTCTTGGCCTCGCTTGAGAGGATTCAAACACTAATGCAAAAACAGCTGCTAAGCCAGAAAAATCTTCACCGCTAAGATTTTTTTTTTCTTAATATTTCTTTTGGGAGAAAGATACATTACTTTATTTTAACATGCTCAGCATTTACCTGGTAATCAGTAGATTGAGTCCTAAAAACTTTTTTTCTGTGAACACTGTAAAGGGAAACAGGCTGTTGGTAGTAAAAATGAGAAAGATTGAAGGGGAGTTCAAAAATTCAAGACTTGGCAAGAACAGTGGTTGTGTCTTTAGATATGGAAGAAGAGAGTCCGTCTGGTGCTCCACCTGTTTGGTTTCACTGTATTCCTTGCATAGTTCCTTTTTTAGGCAACCCTGTAAATGCAGGCAATCTCACCTTTAATGGAAAAAAAAAATTAATTTAACCTCTTGGTATTAGCCAAATAATCCTCAAATATGTGTGCAGGAATACTGTAGTAATTCCGCTAGCATTAATATTGTACTGATATTTGTGTATTTCTGTACCTAAGGAATGCTGGTTAAATAAATTGTATCTATTGTTTGCTAAATGCTGTTTGAGTAATGCAACTTTCTTTTTTTGTTTCTTTTAATTTCTTTCATTTGCTGAACGTTCTTACACTGTTTCTTAAATAATTGTGCTAAATCTCTTTTTGAAATGTTGTCATTAGTAACTGTTTTCTTTATTGTTTTAAAACTTTCTCTCCGCTGTATTCACTGCTTTTCATTCTTCCCTTCCTTTATTCCAAAATATTTTTTTTTTCCTTTTCTCTCATAGTCTTTTCAAATAGGAAATTTTATCACAAAGCTATATCTATTCACCCATGATTGTTATATCAGCAACTCCATTTATTTGTACTAATTTATAATTAGTGCATTTAATTTTGCTCCTTTCTGGGTGAAAACCTACCTGAAAAACAATCTCGTCCTTGGGGAAAGTCTTCGTGTGTATTACTTTGCTTGTTGGTGGTTGCTAATTAAGTGGAAGCCTGACTCCAAACACCTTGATTTCTGGGAAGGTCCTGGTTTCCCATTTCGTCATCTGTTTCAGAAATTGTTGTGTTGCCTCAAGGGTAGCAATTAATTTGTATTTGCTCAGCCTCCTTGCTTCTGCTGTGTAGGCGAGCATACAATATAACCTTTTTAGATTCTTCTTCTGTGGGTCTAGTGTCTGCCTTTTGTGGTCCAAATTTTTCTAAATGCAGCAACATGAAACTGAGTCAATTCCTGTACAACTTGCTGCCTCCCACAGAGGGGCAAACAGAAGCAGTGAAATCAAAATTTTGATCCTGCTTATAAAGGTTCTGAACAACAGAGGCAATGAAAGTGTCTGCCTACAGCTGTTGGAGGTCACCACATGCTTTTGCAACTGAAAGAAAAGGTTATGTAGGAAAAAAGCATGCATTTTGCCAACGGTGATGCAGTTTTTCATAGGATATCTTTCTTGCTCTGGTTGAGGAGGTTTGTAAAGCCTTTATGATAGGGTCCCCATTTTAGAGCAAGGGAGAGGAATGACAGGTATTCAGCTGTTTTATGCAACTGAAAATTCACTCAGTTTAGTCTTTCATTTAATAGCTCTCTTTTATCTTTCCTGTGCTTTTTCTTGTAATTTTTATATCTTGTTCTGTGGATTCAGTGCTGCCTATAACTAAGTAATGGGTTTTTAACAATATTTTTTAGCATATGGACCACATGGATTAAACATTGTCAGCTGTTGCTGATGTAAACAGTGAGCTAACAAAGAAAATTCTGCTTTTGCATTCTGATACACTTGTATTTGTGATAATGGTGATGAATATTCACTGAGATTCTTCTTTTAAATAAAATTGTAAATATTGGAAGTTAGCTTAAATTTTTTATTAGTCTATTGGTGTAGTAGGTTTAAATAAATTATTTTGACTATATACTTTAATTACTGAGCAGTGTAGATCAATGTAAAAACCAGTGGAAATAGAAGACCTGTTCTGGAAACCACTCTTGCTTTTAAGAACTGTGAGGGAGAGTCTGTTGATCTGGCAATCGTTTGGTTGATCAATTTTATAGCATCAGCAGTACTAGAAATAATCTAAGTAACTTACATGCCTTTAGCCAGCATTAGAAGTCTGGCTGGGCGGACTGGAGCTCAGATGACTGTTTTCCTTAATGCGTTTTGGTAACCCATGTGTTGTCATCATACTTTTGTTGGTTTTGGGAGGTTTTTTGTGTGTGTGTGTGTGGTTTGTTTTGTTTTTACATAGCCACCGGCACGTAGATTGTGACTCCGCAGGAGCAGGGCAGAGCACGGGAACAGGGTCCTTTCCTGGCAGGAGTCAAGCTGCATTCTCTAAACAGAAGGCTGAGGGCAGGAGATGGTCCCGGTATCTAGTGGCTGACAGTCGCTGGCGTAGTTCCTAGCAGCAGCAGGCCCCTTCACGGCTTACTCGATGAACTGCCCTGCTAGTGTCCTTCATTGTCTGCCCATGCATTTTCTTTCCACTGTACCATCTATTTATTCTGCTCTTTGTTCTTTCCTAACACTTGATAAGCTTGAACCAGGGCATATTTTGAGTTTACAACCTGCCGTCTTAATTTACTATGAAGTGTAGAATTTAGAAGCATTTTTCATTATCAAGACAGCTGTTGTAGCTGAATTAAGCTAATGGAGTCAGGAGTTATTTCTGTTTTAGACTAATAACGGGTTTCCTAGTGTAGAGCTTTTTAAGAATATGTGAAAAATTGTTGACATATAGGAGAAATGTAAATGCAGTGTGACTTCCTCTCTAGCAGAAATTAAATAAAGATTGGACAGTTTCATGTCAAAATGAGATTTTGATAGGAGAATACTTATCTGAAGGGCGTAATAGCTCACAGTAGATTGGGAACCTTTGTTGAAAATTTTTAATAGTATAGTTTTATTGGAGTACTAAATTCTTTTCAGGAGAAAGTTAAAATAATGGCATTTTAGGTTTGGGTGGGTTTTTTGGGGTGTTGTGGGGTTGGTTTTTTTTTGGTTTTGCATGTATAAAACTCCATGTAGGAATTGCTAGTTTTCAAATACATTTAATTGGGTTTTGTACAATTTCTTCTTGAGATACTGTATTGAGAGATATCTTTGATATCCCTTGTCCCTTTCAGGATTATAGTTGTGTGATTACCTTGAGATAGAGGCTGTCTGTTTTTCTTCAAAGCTAAACGTTTTTTGCTGGTAACCATTGAGTTTCTAGTTAAAGCTCTAGAATAATTCTATGGTTGTGGATTGAAGGCTTTTCGTGTGACTTGTGTTTTGTGGAGTCTGTTGTCTGCATATATTCTTTTAACACATCTCTGTGAAAAAATAAATGATTGTATATACTACAGTATTATAATTAGCTGTAGCAAGATGATGCTCGAGTCATTAGTTTAAAAATTAATATAATTTTGCAGAATGTCCTTTTGATCTGTAAATCATAGCTCTAAAACAAAGATTATAGCTGCAGAATTGAGTACATAAAATAAGTTTGCATGCCTCCTTCAAAAAAGCTGCAGAAAGTGTTCAAGTAATTCTGTATTTTTATTGTCATTTACTTTCAGCTGACAAATTAGTAAGTCCTAAAGACATTGACCCTATCGGACGTTATATACCTCCACAAGATCAGCGGAACGTTAGCATGAGATTTTCAAATCAGGTAAGCATAAGCTTAGTACCAAAATATTTTTACTGAAAGATTGTTATCTACATGTTGTTTTACAGACTTCTAGTATTAGAATTAAAGTGCTAGGGAAATATTAAACGTATGTACATTTTCTTAGTTGATGCTTAGGATTGCTTTTACAAGAAAGATTAGAACATCTGCAGTTTTAGGGAAGCAGTGGATGTTTGCCTTCAAATTAAGTTGGGCAATGAAAATGATTCATAAATTGTAAATTTAAGTAGCTGCTAATAGATAGTTGTCTGTCTTTGAGTTCTAAGGTACATCAGCAAGGCAAGGATGAGCCTGCTTCTGCCACCCCCTTCAAATTAATTAGTACTTCAGTGTCTTAATATTTTGTATTCAGAGCTCCTAAGAACTACAAGGATGAGGTTCTTTTTTGGTGTGCATGGTATATATGTGTGTTCCTGTATTTT